TGGCAGCACCCACGAGCTCTCATACCTGAGGATGGTGGGGATGAGTTCAACCAAGTGAATGGAAAAGCTGGAAGAAGCAGCAGAACTTAAACTTGTTCCCACACAAGCCAGAGTCACCCGCAGGGTCTGCATTTCTGGAGACATAAAGACCAGGGAGACAATGAAATCTGAGCTGAAGGAGTCAGCACCTCCTAAAATGACTGGGGAAAATACCCTATTCATTATGTCTGTGTTTGAAATATACCAGTGAAAACTGGACAGCAGCGGAGAGGATAGTGTCGGTAGGCTGAGAAGTGCAGAGCTACGCAGAGGTGGCCTGAGCCCATCACCGTTCCTGGACTAAAGCGCAAGAGTCTGACTGCACAGCTGAGGTTTGCCGGGGAGGAGAAGGAAGCCGATCCTCAGCCTGCTCCTGCTTATCCTCTCTCGCACGCATTCCATCCCTCCTGCAGGACCACGTGTGGGCAGATGCCGAGTCTAAGGGCAGCTCTAAACTTGTGGACTTCACAATGAACGTAGAATTTCAAATGACTGGCGTCCTGGTGCTCCTGGGAATTGGGGATTTAGCGGAGTGGGGTTTTTCGGCTTAACCAGGAAAGCCCCAGGTAAACCCAGGCAAGGCGTCAGCCCGGCGTAGACACAGCCTTGTCGGGGATGGGTCTGGGCTGGGAGTGAACTGCAGGGACAGGGCCACCTCTGCTGGGCTGGCTGAGGAGAAGCTAGAGCTAGCGCAGTTGGGTCTTAGGAACCAAGAACGGAAACTTCTATCTGGGAAAATCCAGAACTTGGGAGTCATCATGCAGTCATTTCAAAGAATCATTTTCTGCCCAGTACAAAACAAAGGAATCTAATTAGAGCCTTAGAACATTTGGAGACTCCGGGAAGGGAACAAACCTGCACAATGGTGATGTTCTGCTGCTCAGACCCTGCTCTGCAGCATGCCAGCCCCTGGCATGGCGCCTCAGTGACTTACAGAGTGACGCTACACAGACAGACTGGGATTTCTCTGCTGACTGTGTGCCTTGGGCTGCTTGAAGAGAGTTTGTTTTGTTTCATTTCCTGTGAGTCAAGGAGACTCCCACCAGTGATGGCTGCAGCACTTACAGGTGGATGCCTGCAGGTGGGAGGCAGACCATGGTCTCAGCTGGAGGTGAAGCCCCGGGTGGGGGACAACACCCTGCGTCCTTCTGTGGGGCAGCAGGGTGAGGCTGGGCCCCTCTGTCCTGACTATTTTTTAAAAACGATTTATATTATTCATTTATGCATATAAGTTCTGGGTACTGGCCAGAGATGGATGGGTGAGAGGCCTCAGCAGAGATAGAATAGGGAGCAGAACAGGCAGACAGACTGAGATACACTGCTGAGGGGAGCAGCAGGGAGACAGGAGAGGTCTGCTGCACTGTGTGGGCCAGCCCCTGGCCGGGGATCCATCTCCTACTGCAGTGGCTGCTGATAGCTTCATAGTGCTGCAGCTTGCCTTGTGGCACCAGGGAGGCCGTCTATTCTAACTATTTAGCACATGAATGCCATAGGGCAGCTACTTGCTGCTGTTCTAAGTAACTGTCTGTAATAAAAGCACTGGTTTCCAGATATTTTCAGGATGTGGTGAGCTGCCTAGTGCTGACCCAAGAATTTATCAGCAGATTTTGTCCTAAACCATCTGAATTGTTTGGGCAACTTGAGTCAGTACACTCCCCAAAGGATGGAAAGGCCATTGCCTTTTCCCAATGTCCTGTCGCCTCTCACCTGGAGGCACGAAAGTGTTGGCCAAGATGGAAAGTCCCAGCAGTAATGTAGTAAACGTCTGGGTTAATCGACGGCCTATCTGACTCAGTGCCCAGAGTGTAAGACAGCGGGCCAGGACCATTAGAGCTCCAAAGATGACCTGTAACAGGAAAATATTGCTCCCGAAGTGCTGCAGATTGACCATGATGCCATAAAAGGGTATTGTGATTGCAAATCTGCAGTGGACAAAAGAGGGGCAGATGCCCAAGTTAGTGCCTTCGTGCTGCAGAGGGTAATGATCCACAGATTGACCCAGAAAGCTAGTGTCAGTGTGAAAACTAAAGACCTCATTTGGTTTAATGAACACTTCACTCAGGTGATAGTTGTAAAACTGTCATAAGTAATGACACTGCACATTCCTGTCATTCTCCAATCTGAATCTCGGACAGAGAGTTACCAACTAGATAGACAGATGAAATCTAACTCACTCACCAGACTGGGTGGCATCGAGAAGTCAAATATGGAACGGTAAAAGGAGGGTAAGATTTTCTTTTTGTGGGGTGTTGGTATTCTGGGCGTCATCTCTCTCATCTCCCAATGCTACTACAGTGAAGAACTTTTCCTTCACTTAACTACTGGTCCTTAACCAGTTAAGTGTCCTGGCATGTAACACAATTCAAGGGAATCCAGATTCATATCTAATTTCCTAGGACTTATATTTCCTAGAGGAAATATGAAGACTCAGGGAAGCAAACAGGATCCACTGTGCCATAGAAAGAGAATTAAATGTTCCCAGTGTGAACCTAAATTTAAACTGAAGCATCTAAGGAAAAGGATTCCATTTTAATGATCTAGAGAGAGCTACGTTTAGACATGAAAGCAGCAAAAACCAAGGCCAGTCCCAGCAATTACAAGCCAGGAATCCATTCTTGGTCATCATGGTTACTTGTTCTTACCACTCTCATAGTCTAAGATTTAGAAACCTCATCTGTGACCTAAAGGATATGGGGAAGGTGGAAATGCAGCTAAATAATGACATCTCCTAGGACATTCCATGGAACATGCTGACTGTACAACTCAGTGGTGACTTTCTGAAGTCTGAATAAAGGTGTTTTTTGTCCTGTATGCTTTTTGGGTATGCATAAAAAAATTAAGTATAAAATATTAAAGATTTTAATATTAATAAATTGATTTAATGTAATAAATAACAAAATATTCAAAATAAAAATAAAAATTTTTAAGTATAAAAAATATACTTAAAATTTCAAAAGTATACTAATTCACGAAGTAGGTATATTCCCCAGTCGATAATATATAAGATTTTTTTTCTACAGAAGCCCTAGGATCAAAACCCCAAATTGAAAATAAGCTGTAGGTACACTGATGTCCATAATGCAGCTCTAGGGCAGGGGAACCAAGCACACTGGGTGGAGAACACCCTATTGTATGTGCAACTCAACAGCAAAATCATCCACAAATAAGCTTGAGGGAAAGGCAGAACCATTTTATCACTTATCATCAAAACCTGTATCTTTTATCATCAGAGCCATATAGCCTCATAATGCATGATGTGAATGTTGATGCTAGCGCTCTCCCGTGGTAAGGGAGGTCAGAACAGTTGTGAGGCTTCATTTGGTGTGGGAGAGGGCAGTGAGGGGGTTGAGAGGTGGCTGCTGGTGATGGAGGTGATTCTTGCTGTAGGGGATATCTGAGGGGGGGCTCGTAGGATTTTTCCATCTTGAGCTGGCTGTCCAGTGCTTGTTTATGTATTGAAATAGTTGTTGGATCGGTTATATTCAAGACCTGCTCACCTTATGGTTGTAAGATTTGTTGAAATTAAAATAGAAGGAAAAAAGAAAATACTAAAATCTTTATTGTAACAGAAATTCTCAGCATCAGGCAGATAGTAGAGGTACAAGACATACTTAACTCCTAATAATATAATCAGCAACTCATGAATCTTTTTCTACCCCTTTGACTATATCCAAACATAGCAATTATTTGGTGTGTTCTGATCATTTTTTATCTTCAGATCAACTCTTGCCCTCAAACACTGTTAGAACCTTTGAAGCCAGTACACTCATCCCAGCACTCTTAATATCGGCGCCACGCCCACCTCTCTAAGAATAGGATAAGGGTCCTTTGACGCAGGTTGGGTGTCCGGAACAAGTCAAACACAGAAGATGGTTTCTCTGCTGCCTTCAGCTCCTCCAGCATGGTGGATCTCAAAACCTTCAAGAGCAACAAACACATCATTTGCCAACAGTCAGGCCGGTGGGGACCTGCACCCCCAGCTCGGGGAGGGGGCACCCTTCTCCCCAGGGAACATCACACATGCACCCGCAGGAGTGGCCACGATAGGAAGGAAGGTGTAGGCAGCCAAAGAGACTCCAGGAAATGACGCAGAAGGACAATAGTTTGAGGGAGCCCTAGAGGGGTGCAGGACCCCCACAAGTGAGTGTAGGTTAGAGGCTCAGACCAGGAAGTGAAAGAAGGAGGGCACAGCGTGGTGCTCAAAGCCCTGTGCGGGAGCCCAGGCGCCCAGGGCTCTGAACTCACACCCTCGGCTGCTGGTCTCGCTAGGAACACAGCTCGCGCATCTGTGCGTCTCAGTCAGGGGACGGGGACATCAGCCACGTCTCCCTCCTGCCCAGGACCCTGCTCCCGAGCCTGCTCACCTCCAGGGTCAGTGCTTCTCCCGCGCTCTTCATGCCGTTGGTGTGTGCCACTCGTCTGAGTGTCTCCAAGCCCTCGGCAGGTTTGTTGGTGATGATGAGCCACCGTGCAGACTCCACCAGCCACCTGGTGGGAGAGGAGCGCAGTGTAGCAGCCTGTGTCTGTCTGTGCCCGTTCTCCATGACGGAGCCTTTTGCCATCCGTCTACTATCTGCACTTGTTGGGGTGGGGACGGACAGTCATGCTCTGTGGCATAGAGAGTGACGATGGAGGCAGTGTGCCTTTGTGGTTGGGAACATGGGTTTGGAGCCAAATCACCTCTCTCATTAGTCATTGGAAGGTTTGCCAAGAAGCTTCAGAATCTTGAGTTTTCAGGAGCCCTGTGTGCATATTTTTCCTTTCAAAGGTTGGCACAAATCTAACCATTTTGTGCTCATTATATATATGCAGATATGGATATATATTTTTATTAATTTTATTATATATTTCTGTTGTATCTGACTATTATGCTTATGCATTAAATATATAACATATATACTCACATACACATATATAATTTTAAAAAAGTACTACATTATGTAAGGTTAAAAATCCAGTAACATGTGGAAGTACTACGCTGTGCTGGTTATTAGCTGCACAAATGAGTAGCTTGTTTCTATCTGCCTCAGTTTCTCACCAATTGGTGGGGACAGTAACTCCGCTTCCTTGCAGGGGTTTTATGAGGCTAGAATGACAGAACAGCTGACTCTGACACAGATGACACTTTCCTGGTCTCTGTGAACTCATCTGATTGTATGAGATCTTCGGTAATCTCTCCATGTTTTAGTAAATACAACTCTCCTAGATTGGTTTTTAAGTGTGGGAATGAAGATATCCATAAATTATATGTTAAAAATACTCACGGGAAGAGGGAGTTCTGCCACACGGTGTGAATCACCCAATCTTCACATCGGTTTTTAGTAATGGGGAAATCGTGTTCCTGTGTTCCTGTTTTATCAGTTAGCTGTACAAACACATTTTCTGTGTTCTTTCTTTTACCCACAAAAATTAAACATCACTGAAATTTTGACCACAAACTGATTCATTCCAGAGCCAAGGAAAAATTATAGGTGTATATTTTTGAAAGATTACTCTATATTTTATTCAGGAAAGTAATGGGAATAATGTGTGACTGTTATACTGAGTATGACATGAAAGGAAGATGGTGGAAAACACCCAGAGCTCTCAGACAGGGGAATCACTATTATTTCATGTTCCGCTTCTCACATCGCAGAGTGAGAAGGGCCCAGCGGAGAAGACAATTACTGTTCCCAGTCAATATTCATTTTCAACCCCAATTCCCTTGGGACAAAGAGGGAGAGCGGCTTCTACCTTGAGAGGAGAAAGAAGACAAAGAAGGACACAGACAGCAGCAGCTGCAGGGTGCGCCACTCCCGGAACACAGAAGCCAGCCCTCCCAGGACCATCTGCCCAAAACTAATGGCACAGAATATCAGGGTTAACACCAACGCTTTAGACCGGGACCTGGCCCACTCCACAACTGCAAAAAACAACACCCAGTGGGAAATTAATGTCAGTGTGTCAGGAAATTTCAAGGTCAAAATCAAGGCTTGGGCAATGGAGTTGACCAAAATTCGTGACTTACTGAGCAAACTGCCATTTGTCATGATGGACACAGAAGAACAACCCGACAGGAATCTCAGGGAGCAGTAAATGAGGAAGTTGGGAGCAAAGGCCGCACAGGTCCCAGAAGCAGCGAGCTGGAGGAAACTCCACCGGAGAGCCAGCTTTCTCCCAAACCTGAGAAACAGGCAGGTTAGGTTGTGGTAGCAAAAATCATTTGTAGCAAAATCTTAAGAAAGTAAGAGCTTACTCTGAAATTTAGAGAATGTCTTGATAAGTGATTCTTGGTATCGTAAAGCTTGAAAAAACCAAAAGCTAAACCAACAATGGAAATCTCTTCCAAAGCAACACACTCTGTTTGCACTGCAGACTGACAATATCAAAACCATTACCCAAGCACCAGGAATTCTCTGAGGCCAACTGATGCCATATAAAGGAGAGGACAGTGCTGGAAATGGCAATATTCGTAAGCACCCATTATACTAACACACTGTGTAACACAGTACAGAATATTACTTTCTGGAACCCAGGGAGCTGTACATATACTTGAATTTCTAGCATCATAAAGGCTCAGGTTAAACTGATACAAAAGAAAGATCAACGGAGCAATCTATTGAAATTGCTTGAGGGTGTGTAAGAATCTCTTTGTTGATTCTGGATTGTGTAGATTCTGGTTTCAATTTGTGCTTTATCTAGGAAATTATAGAAAACTCACAGTGCAAAGAATTTTGTATGGAAATAATAGGAAAAAGAAAGTGAGGGACAAATAAGGATAAGGGAATTCTCTTATCTCTTTGGGTATCAAGAAAGGCACACCTTGAGGGAGACAATGGGAGCTCAACAGGAAGCCAAGTGAGAAAAACAAGGAGAGTTTGGGATCCAGCATTGCTGTGTGATTCCTGAAATGGAATTCTAAAAACATTCAAACAATTTCTTCCAAAGGCAGAAAGTATAGCATACAGGTACAAAACAGCTCTGATTAATTATAATCATAATAGTCATCATCAAGAAATAATGTAGAGGTGGTGCCAGGGATAAAGCTTCAGTGCCATCAAGCTATCCACAGCCACTGCTACCTGAGTTCGATCCCCGGCCAGGAAGTGACCCACATGGCACAGCAGACCCCTCCTGCCCACCCGCTGCTCCCCTCAGCAGTGTGTTTCAGTCGACCTGCTTTTTCTGCTCCCTACATAAATACAATTTGCAAATAGTGCTCTAGTGAATACAGGAGTGCAAGTTTCCTTCAGGTTAAAGTTTTTATATTTTTCAGAAGGACACATAGGAGTGGAACTGCGGAATAATATATATCGATTTTTAATATTTGAGAAAGCTACTTACCATTTTCTCTAGGGACAAGACCACTTGCATCCCATCAACAGAGCACAAGCTTCTTTTTCCTTCACGCTCTTGTCAATGTTTTTGTTTCTGGACTTTTTGATACAGACCATTCTCACAGGTGTGAGGTGACATCTTTTTGTGGTTTTGATTCACATTTCTACAATGATAACAATGTGCATTTTTTACATCTTTCGGCCATGTGTGTCATCTTTGGAGAAGTGTCTATCTGAATCTTTTGACCATTTTTTGATTGAACTATTTTTGTTGCTGATTTGTATGAGTTCTATATAGCTCTTGGATATTAATGATCCTTGCTAAATGTATGATCTGGAAATAATTTCTCCATTCAGTAGTCTTTTTGCTTTAGTGATTGTTTCTTTGACTGTGCAGAAGTTGTCTAGTTTGATGTAGTTCTGATTCTTTATATTCTCTTCTGTTTTCATTGTTGTTGGAGGTGAATCTGCAAAGACATCTTCGAGGCCCAAAGCTTGGAATGTTTTGGCTGCTTTTTTTTTTTTTAATTCCATAGTTTCAGGTTTTTCATTCAAGCCTTTTATTTACTTTGAGTTGATTTTTGGCAGGGTGTGAGTAGTGGTCTAGTTTCAGTCTGTAGCAGGCAGCTATCTATTTTTCCCAGCACCATTTGTTGAAAAGACTTTCCTTTCTCCAATGCATAAGTTCTCTGCTCCTTTTTCTCACTTTGCCCTCCCTGAAATGCCTATTATCTTATATCACTTTTCTTCATGGAATTCATTTTTTCCCTTTTTATTTTACTTTCTTCTTCCACTTTTTCCATCTTCAATTTCACCTATTTGATCTTCCATTCAGTCTATTTATTTCTATGACTTTCTCCAGAATTTTTTAATCTTTTTCATTATCTTTTTGATGTCCTTTGGATTATTTTCTTATTGAAAAGTGAGACTTCTATACTACTTTTATTTTTCCAGCAGAGGGAGCTGTGGGTTTTATGATAAATTTTAAAGCTTTTCCTAACTTGGTGTTTCACATGTTGTATGATTTTGTATGTTGTAGAGAACTGATGGGCAGCTGATGAGTCAAGGAGATGGTGAAGGGCTGGAGAGATTCAGTTACTGGTGAAGGTGGGGCTGAGGCTGGCTCATGTCTGTGGTGTTACTGGTAGCCCTCCACTCTGGGTTACCAGGCCCAAATCTCTTTAGTGTGTGGACTGTGTAGTCAGCACCACTTCACAGGATCAGCTCAAGTTCTGAGAGAGTGACAGGGAGTAGCACCACTCTGTGACTGCCTGTCCTCAACTGGGAACCCTGCCCACATTGTTCACACAAACCCCTCCATATGGATCTCCCCTCACTTAAGGGTATGCCTCCATACTAATCAGTTCTCCTCTTGCCAAGGCCTCCAGCTAGACATGGTACCATATGTTTGCAACCCCATTTCCTGCCTTGCCACTTTCTCTACCCACTTTTTTGGTATAGACTTGAATTTTCTCAGTGTCTCTCCTGTGATGGTTAGCACTGATATCCAAAGTGTAACAGCTGCTCTTGTTTTGCCCCAAGTCATGGGATCATTAGGTACTTTAGATTATTCTCCTGGGGGTACAGCAGGAAGCCTCCTCTGATGTTATCTTCCCACCTTGAATCTCCTCTTTATTTCCTAATTCATTTTTCAGATATTATCTAGTACCCTTTTATTTCAACTTGAACTCTTTAATGTAGTTTGTATGGCCAGTGTGGTAGTAACAAGCTCCTCAGCTCTTCTTTATATGGGGCTGTCTAATTTCTCCCTCATTTTTGAAGGATAGTTTTACCAGCTATAAGACTCTTGGGTTACAATTTTTTATTTCAGCCTTTGAAGTTCGTCACCTCTACTCTCTTCTGAACTTAAAATTTCTGGTAAAAAATAGATTGCAAATATTATTGATAATCCTTTGTATTTCACCATTTGCTTGTTTTACTGCTTTCAAAATCATGTCTTAATTTTAGTTTTCAAAAGACCAATTAAAATAGAGGTCCAGGTATCATCAATAATATAATAAACAAAGAAAAAGTGCTTCTCAGAATTCATCAATCTCTGTTGCTGAAAATCACTGAGCAAACTAGAAATGCAAGACAACTTTCTCAACCTTTTGAGAATATCTATAAAACCAGTCACAAAGCATCATGCTTAAGATGGCTCAATACATTCCTTCTCCAATCCATGAGAAAAGAAATCATGGATTTAGCTTTCACTATTTTTTTTAATAGACTTTTTTTTTTAAGATTTATTTATTTGTGCATACAGAACTGCGGTGCAGGCCAGAGGCTCAGGGGCGATGAGAGGCTTCACCAGAGACAGAGCAGGGAGCAGAACAGGCAGATCGACAAAGTGCACTGCTGAGGGGAGCAGTGGGCGGGTCAGGAGAGGTCTGCCGCGCCATGTGGTCACCTCCGGGGCAGGCGGGAATCGAACTCATGTGGGAAGTGGCTTTAGTTTCTCAGTGCTGTGCTTTAGCCCGCTGCGCCACCAGGGAGGGCCCTAGCTTTCACTATTTTTAACAGTGTATTAGAGGTCTTTACTCTAGTCAGAAAGAAGAACTAAAAGGCATACAATTTGGAACGGAAGGAAGAGAATTCCTTTAAGGTGTTTGATCTTGTAGTAAAAACACTAAGGGAATTCAAAGTAGATATTCTAGAGCTAAAAAGGGAAATTAGATTCAAAGTAAATATGTAAAAATCAATTGCAATAAATAATATGACTTACACACTGTACAAATGCATTACACTGGTATCCAAAAAATTAGGAATAAAAGTATTGGAAACAATTACGTTTCCATAACAATTTTTTTGTTTAGATTTTCCTAAACAAAATTTAAATTAGTGGCTTGATGCATAATAACTACATACTAGAAAATTAAACTTGTCAAAAATGACAATTTTACATTTAAATTATCTACAGACTCAAAGCAATGCAAGCAGAATACCCAACAATCATTCTTTATTTAAAAATGTGAACTCACTTTAAAGTTTATTGTAAATAACAAACATAAGTGCTTATAATTCGTGATTTTGAGACTTACTAGAAAATGACAATGAACAAGAATATGGGAAAATTACAACAAGAAAATATACACTTCCATGGAGCACAAAACATGATGTTCATGGCAGCAGTAAGTTCATACCTAAGTGATCGATTAATTTTTTACAAAGCTATCAAGATATTTTCAAGGAGACATAAGACTTTTTCAACAGATGATGCTATAATAGCTAGATATTTGTATATGGGAAACACTTTGACTCATCGCATAAACTCCACACAATTGAATTAAAATGAACCATAGACCAAAGTTAAGAGCTAATTTAATCAAAGTTAAGAGTTTTCTATAGAAGAAAATTTTTGTGACATGGGGGCATGTAAAATTTCTTTGAAAGTACTGAAAGCACCACCTATAACAGATATATCAACAAAATAGAATTTGCCAAGATTAAACAATTTGCTCATCTAAAGACATATCAAGGTGTCTTAGCTAATAAAAAGCAACTGAGTTTATAACTAGCATGATACATGTGCTCAATGTTTATTACTTGATAAATGGGTAAAAATAGATCAGTTGATCGTTTGTCTGTTCAACCTTTACCTTCACATTGAACAATACTTATTTCATTCCCTTTGATGTGTAGAAAGCCTTCACATTATCAATTAATCTATACTACTGTTGATCAGAATCAACTGACTTATTCTACCATTGATGGATCATTACATTTCCAGTTGTACGTGTTGTAAATACTTGCTTGTTAAATGTCAGAAATATCACTTTGATAATGTTATGCATTAAATATAAATCAATGACCATTTCAATATCTGATTAAGTACTTAATGTTTTT